CTAACAGGAAATTAAGGTATTCTTCAAGAAGACAGTGTTCAAAGAAAGTAACCTTAAGTTTCAAGGAAAATGTTGAAAAGTTTTTCTAGTCCAAGCAATTCCTACTGTCTATAGAACTTTCTTATGGATGCCCAGTAACAGAAATGATGACAAAGAATCGTAGAAGCATGCAAAGCCAACTGCAAATGGCAAATAGGAGCTACTTACTTTTTCACCATGCAACTTTTAGCATAACTCCTGAGACACCATATCTACATATATAGGTCTGAAATATAATCACTTCAAAAGTCTGGTCTTGAGTACTGTGGAGAAGGAAAGGAAAGAAACAAAGGGAAGATACAGAACCCATAAAGCAGAACAGTGAGGAGAAAAGGCACTGCAAAGAAGAGGTTGTCAGATGTGTTTGCCCAGACAGAGAAAACACAGCTGTTTGTTAGTTTCTCCTTACTTAGTTTCTCCTTACTTAAGGACTCCCAGGGAATCCTTAAGAAAGATGGAAAGGGAATACTATGAGATGCCCAATCAGTAACTCCTGACACCTTCTCTAGAGGTTCAAAGACATGTGACATCAGCACAAAGCTCCTTTCCTAGTTTAAGTGTATAAACTAAACTATATGTATGTTCTCCTCCCCATCTCCTCTTTAGGGGACCTAACAAACCAGAATGGAGCCTCAGAGACCCCTGGCACTGCCCAACCGCCCTGAATGATGTGATTTCACAGGAGTGAGGCCTCTTACCTTTCACCTTCCAGGTACAGGTCTGAGCAAAGTCGAATAGCTTCATTTAAACTATAGTCCAGAAGTTAGAGGAAGGGAGCCAGACGGAGGAAGACAGCCATGCTAACTGTAGATTAAGTATATGACACTCTCAGCATATCCAATTCACCAGTTACGGGATCTCCTCTCTTAATTCTGATTACTGTCCTTTTGCTAGAAAGGTTTAAACCCCTTACGTCCTGATAAAATTACCACAAAAAATGGATACTTCAAATTCTAATCTTGTCTTAGCAAATAATTTGTTGAGTAACCCTGAGAATTAAAACAAAAAACTAAATTTCTCTAGGTGTTGAGAGTCTACAAAACTTTAATGCCCCTGGTGAGGGCTTAGAGACTGACCTAAGGACCCTTAGCTGTTAATGCAAATGCTAACTGGGCTAGACTCTTCCGTGCTTCGGTTTCCACACAGGAGCAGAGCCTACAAGAGAGGGATCTACTACTACTATGAAGGTCAAACACTAGTGCTAAGGTGTTTAGGTCAAGGTAAGTATCACCCAGAGTTAAGCCAAACCAAAACCAAGTCTAACAGACCATCCCCTCCACTTTGTTCCAGTTTGCACTTTTTTTTTTAAGGGAGGAAGAGAATATTAGGCAGGCTCCACACCCAGCACAGACCGCCCCCCGCCAGGCTCGATCTCACAACCCTGAGATCAGGACCTGAGCCAAAAGCAAGAGTCAGAGGCTTCACCAACTGAGCCACCCAGGCATCCTCTAGTTTCTGTTCTTTTTGGAGAAAACAGCACATCACAATTATCTGTGAAACTTTTTTTTTTCTTCAGTTTATATAGCCCTCTTCTGCCCTTCTCTAAGCCTCTGCTATTCCTCTATCAGAATGGCAAGAAGGGCCTGGGTAGATACAGTCTGATAAGATCCCACAGATGATTCTGTTAGAGCTACTGCTCTTAAAAAATTCACAACACTCTGTCTTTAGAAAATCTCTGGGTTTAACAACAGAGAGCAGGCACTCATGTCCTCTCAGCCCGTTGCGAGTCGAGCCACTAAAGGAATGACCAAAGCCTTGCAAGTAAAGAGAAATATCTGCATCCAAAGTGGTCAACTCAACCAAATACTTGGTTTTATCTACTCTAGCTTTGCTAGGCTGAGCAGTACAGGTTTTCAGGCAGTTGAAAGGGAAACTTCAGAATTCTCTGATATCAAAGTTGACTTATCTGCATGACGAATGACAAGACCCTGTTGGGAATCAGAAAAGTAATGGGGAATGAATGGGGAAGAAAATCATACTGTCAAATAAACTAGGCCTGCACAACGGCCAAAGGCCTCGCTGTCTCTGCTGTATTATGCAACACTGAGTCTTCAGATTTTATTTTGGGCTACTAGGCAGCAGCGAACTCCCCAGAGCTTGCCTGAGGCCATTCAGAGCAGTGAGCTGGAGAATCTGGTTGTGGTAAAGCAGCTGTTCTTACTACTCACAAAGTGTGAGCAAGGTGCAGAAAACAGGAATTAACATGCCAGCTGCAACAAATGACTAGAGCACGGAACACCAGACACACCGGTGCTAAAGCACTTGGCCACCAGCTCCACAGGATGAACTGCTATTCGAGGGTTTACAGTGAGTGAGCAATGAAGCATGGTCTGAGAAAGTGGATGAGTAACTGGTATAAAGAGGACCCAAAGCTCCCTGGGTCAGGACAGAAGAGCTGTGTCATGATTTGTACGGAAAGAGAAAGGGCAATTATTTTTCTTATTTCTGGAGAGGAACGGGAGGAAGACGTCGATAATACCCTTAGGTCTGTGCAACTAGAAACCGTCTGTTAAAAATGGGGACTAGGTATACGTCGTATTGATATTTACTGAAGACTCAGGTTGACCCAGTACTAAGCAAAATACTGTAGGATTTTGCGGCTCAAATTGTGGCCTGCGGACCAGAGGCATCAGGCTCACCCTCACCTAGAAGCTGGTCAGGAATGCATAACCTCGGACCCTACCGCAGACCTGCGGCCACAATCTCCAGATCCCCAAGTGATCAGCACGCACGTGAAAGTGTGATAAGAAGTGCGGCAAAACACCTCACTGCATTCCCCCAACAGCCCTGCGAGGCAGGCAGTTATTATCTCCGTCTCCCAGAGGAAAAGTCAAGGTTCAGACGAACCGTTTGCCCAAGGTCACAGAATTCTGGAGTGGCGCGGTCGCCGAGATGCTGCCTAAAGCGGGCCTGCGAGAGGAGTCCGCAGCCGGGCCCGGAAGCGCGGAGCCCGGCCTCGGCGCGTGCCCGGCCCTGCGCCGCCCGGGACGGGAGAGGCGGGCCAAGCGCCAGGCGGGCAGGGAGCGGGAGCGGCCGCCGCGACCTCCTCCCCGGGCGCCGCCACTCACCTGAGCCTGGCGAACGCGGGCGCCGCAACACCAGACCCCGGATCCCGCGGGAACGCCGCGCCACCACGACTCCTCCAGCAACACCGGGACCTCACAGCCCCACTTCCGGCCAACTGCCCGCTACTTCCGCCTGCTGCGCTGGTGACGGGTGCGGCCGAGGCTCAAAAGACTCTGTCAGCGTTTTCCAAGGACGTTTTCCAGTAGAGGACGTTGCTAACAGGACGCGGGAGTCTAGGACCTGCGGAGGGGAAGCAGCGCCGTGGAGGGACCGCGCTGGAAGTCGCTGAATAGCCCAGACACTGGTTCGAATCCCAGATCGCCACTCAGGGTTTTATAGCCTTGGAGAAGTCACATCAACTATCTAAGCCTAGTTTCTCAACTGTATGGTGAGGATAATCACGCATCTGTAATAGAGATGCATCTGTGAAGTGCTCTCAGGAGAAGAGTTAGTGATGGATAGCCGAGCCAGTTAGGAGAAATGGATGTGAGGAGTTGGAGCTTGAGGAGGCCTGTGCATATACTGATGAGCAGGGTCATCATTTACCTCCCTGGGTAGAGGGGCTCACACATGAGCCGCTATCAGCAACTAGCAAGGAAGAGACCCTCCAGGAGGGCCTGGTCCCAGACTGCTGTTCTGGGGGGAGCTTGAGCACTGCCAGTTGGGTTTGTCATACCTTGTCAGTGCCTTGGTTGCTGGTCCACCTATCCTAAGTGCTGCGAAGGAGACTTGAGAACTGACGCTCCTTCCAGGGCACCATCTTGTCAGGGAGACAAAAACCAATGCAGGGAGGACACTTTACTGCAAATGAGGTGCAAGCCTGGCATCCCAATTCCTGAGCTCTGCGGAGGGCAGTTTGCCTGATTCTCTCACTTGGACCAGACCAGAGCAAACATTCCTAGTTGCTGATTATGACTCTCTTTGCCAGAAGAAACCAGAGAGAGCAGAGGGCCCATCCCCAGGTGATGAACCATATTGCCCCTAGGCAGCCATGACAATCCCGTTCTTTGCCAAATACTCAATTTCCCAGTCTCCCTTGAAGTGAGAAGAGGATGCAACTCAGTTCTGGCCAACAACATTTAAAGGGAAACGTCCTGGCTGGATTCTGGGAAAGCTTTTACCTTCATGATAAAGTAGTATTGCCTCAATCGCTTCATGGAGCTGTGGCAGCCACCTTGTGGCATGGAGGGAACTACATGCTAAGGATGGGAGAGTAGGAGAATGAAGTCTTATGTCCTTGATGAACCAATACCTATGACAGGATGCTTGTGACCAGAATTGTCAGGTGAGGAAAAATAAACCACTCTTTAAGGTCTTGTAAATCAGGTTGTTGCTTGTGGTGGGGTGCGTTCTTGACCGGGGGTGGGGGGGCTTTGTAAAGATGAGAGGCAGTTATCATAAAGGACAGCACTTATCCCCAAAGGACAGCTCCCTGCTCACAGCACTCTTGGGTCCATTCTGCCTTTGGGGCTTCACCACTAATTAGAACCTTGTTCTCAAGCTTCATGTTTTTGTCTTCTGTCCTCAAACACTGGCCAGTCACTGTAAGGTGGCTCAGGACACCGCATCTAGCTGTCCTGCACCACCTACCTGCCTTCCAACCAGCAGCCTGGTGTCCAGATGCTGAGTTAGAACCACCTTGAAACCCTTCAGGGTGACAATCCGAGCTGAAGAGAAAGCCCCATTGGGCAGAAACTTGGAAACACGACTCCTCCTGGGCGACATGGAGGAGGTTGGGCTTTGGGCCAGCCTTCTCGCACGGCCCAGTGAGCACCTCCGGTCTCATGCCTCCTCTGGGAAATGTATACTCCAGCTTTGCCCTCCACACCCCCCTCACCCAGGCTTCACCTCCCAAACCTGCAAAGACACAAGCAGGCCAAAGAATGCCACTCGAGAGGCTTTCTCCATTTTATTTCTTTGGGAAAAGAAAACGAAGTCTTTCCATCACCTATGGTAGAGATATATATTTATATATATTTATATATAATTTCTTTTGTGGTTGGAAGTCCCAAAGCTGAGTCTGTTCATATTTTTTTCTATTTTTTTTTTTTCCTACTAATGCCTTCTCTTCCCCCTGCCCCTCTGGCCCAGGCCCAGGTTCTGGGGCAGGTACAGTGAGGGGTGAGTGGAATGGGCAGTGATTGCCAGATGGCCTCCCTCACCTGGCTCAGAGATCTGGTGAGGGTCACCGGGAAGGGGCTGTGCAGAGGGATAGAGGCCACACAGGGGGGCACTCTTGTTTTTGTGGGGGACGCACAGCTCATTAAACAGTCACCAGTCATGGGAGGAGGCTGGTCAGGGGTTGGGGAACTTGCTCACAGTAGTTGCCAGCTCTCTCCACCGTGCCTCCAAACCCCGTCTTGGGGGTGGGAGGAAGAGAGTGAAAAGAGAGAAATACAAGGGCTGAGGGCCAAGCCTCCTCTAATTTTTATTGCTGGTGAATTAGAAATTTGCCTTTCCCTTCCTATCTTAGGGAGATAGACTCAGAGGATGCCGAGAGGAGAAGGGAAGTGACAGTGCTGTCCCAACCCCCACTGATGGCCATGCCAGGCCTACCCTGGGCAAACACTGGGCTACTTCGAGGTCCTGGGAACTCAGGGGTCAGTGTTCCTCTCAGGTCAGCCTTGTCCTTCAAGGGCAATCACAACCATCCCCCCTCGCTCCCCAAAACAAAGGCCTCTGGCTCAGGCTTGGACCCATTGGAGCTTGGAAGTGGGCAGTGCACCAAAGATCAAGCAGAATTTTCTACTGGAAGAAAAGGTGAGGTTTGGGGGGAAGAGGCGGCCTAGGACAATGATGTTCTGAGCGTGAAAGCAGAGGGAAGCTGGGGGAATCGAGTGGGAGAAGACACAGGAAGACATCACAGACACTCATATGACCTCAGAAACCGGGTGAGGGGAGTGCCTGAGAGGCAGGTAGCACTTAATAGCTGTAGTTAGAGCCGGACAGCGGCCCTGGGTGTGGGGTGAGCCAAGCAGATGGGGCTATCACCCTGGGGGATCCTGGCCAGAAGGGTGGAGTAGAGCTAAGAAGTCTCCAGATGACCCTTCCCAAGAACAGGAGAGCAGATCTTCCCTGGGCACTGAGTCTCCACCCCTAGCCTTCCCTCCGGCCCCTGATACGCACATATGGACATACACTCAGGACCAGGCCAGGCTCCGAGGCCTGAGCCCAAGAGACCTTGGGGGGGGGAGGGGAAGGGGCTGGGCAGGTAGCCCTCTCAACCACATATGGGCCATCTGCTCCCACTCGTCCTGCCAATCTGCCCAGGGAGAGATAATAGGGCAGGAAGGAGAGAGGCCAGGAGCCCAAGGTCTGTCAGCTTCGGCAGACCCCATGCAGGCCCCCTCAGGCTACATGGCCTTGGAGGTGACCACAGAGAGCGTCACTGGACACCAGGGTGGCCAACAGGGGCAGCCCGGACCTACTGAGGGGCTGGAGTATCTCATGGCACTGCAGGCCTGACGCCTCCCATCTCCTGCACAGCAGTGCCAAGAAGGGGAGCACGGGCTCCCCTGCTGCCTGGGCCCCTCAACCCCCAATCACTCTGCCTCCCTCTCTCCCCTCCTTGGGAGGTGGGTCCAAGTGGGCTGCCCAGAGGGCCAGTGGTAGAGCCCGAAGGGCACCCAGTGGGGGGGGGGGGAGGGACCTGGTCACAGCTGCTTTGAGAACCTCTTTGGTCTGGGGGCATGGGGGACATGGGGAAGAGAAATGGCGGGAAGGGGACATTGGGGACTCTTGGCCTTTGACAGGGCATTTGTCAAAAGGCCACATGCCCAGGTAGGGGATCAGATTTCCGTGGACTCAATGCGCTCGAGGCGGGAGGGCGTCCAGGCTTTCTTCTCCTCGCCGTGTTGGGGGGTGGGTGTGCTGGCCCCCCCCGCTGCCCCGCGCTCCCGCAGCCGCCGCTCCAGCTGCTGGTTGCGCTGGTACATCTCCACGTAACTCAGCTGCAGCTGCTTCTGGTACTCGATGACCTTCTCCTTCTCCTCCAGCCACACGCGGCGCTCCTCCGCGAAGCTGGCCCCCTGGCGCTCCCGGGCTCGCCGCTCGGCCGCCAGCTCGGCCTGCAGCCGCCCCACCTCCCGCCGCAGGGCCCGCGTCCCGCTCTCCCCGCCAGCTTCCACCTCCCCGTCCAAGGAAACCAACGAGGCGGCGGCGGCCACCCCGGCCTGCCGGCGCATCTTGGCCTCGTCGCTCTCGCACGTGGCCAGGGCCTCCTGGGGCTCGGCCGGGTCCACGGGGGTCAGGGCGGGCTTGAGGCACGCCGGGGCCAGCTCCGCCTCGCCCAGCTCCAGGCTGGCCTGTTTGCTGCCGAAGGAGTCCCTCAGGCTGAGCAGCTGCTCCTCCTTCTCCCGCAGCGAGGCCCGGCCCTCCCGCAGCTGCGAGCGCAGCCCCACGATCTCACTCAGCTTCTGGGACACGTCGGCCTGCGAGTCCTTCAGCTGCTGCTTCAGGAGGGAGATCTCCCCCGCCTTCTGGCACACCTGGGCAGGGGCAGGGGCGAAGAGGACCAGGGTCAAGGCAGAGCCCTGCGGGCTGCCGGCCCCTCCCTCCAGCCCTCCGCGCTGAGCATCCCCAGATGCAGGCTTAACTCCTGGGACAAGCAGGAATGCCCCAACGGGCCCCCCTTGGACTACTCAGGACACACGTGGCTAATCTCATACAGCCCCCCCCCAACCCCCGGGGCCGCTCTGGTCCTCACAGACCCTCCTCATCAGTTCTGTCCCCCTCCCCCTTCACTCCCCTTGTGACAGTGGGCAGCAGCTCTGGGTTTTTCCAGAGCAACAGAAGGAAGGAGACTCAGAGAGGGAGAGCCCAAGCCCCCTGCCCGCACCTCCCACTTAGTTTCCTCCATCCGGGGCAGGAAGTCAGCCTGCTCCTTCTGGCAGGCGGCCACCTTGTCCTCCAGCTCTTCCCGCTGCCGCATCAGCCGGGCGGCCTCCTCCTGCAGCTGCTTCTTGTCCTGCTGCAGCCGCAGCACCTGCAGCTGTAGGCCCTGCTGGGCGCGCTGGGCGCGGCGGGCCACCTGCTGCAGCTTCCCGCTGCAGCCCTGCCGCAGCTCCGCCAGCTCGCGCTCCCACGCCTTCTGCCGCTCCTCCAGCACCTGGGCCACCGCGGCCTCGCTCTGCTCCAGGCTCCGCCGCAGAGCTGTCACCTCCTGCTCCTTCTCCCACAGCCGCTCCTCGAGCTCCTGGATCAGGGCACTGGGCGAGGGGGGTGAGCAGGCCGCGAACGGCAGGCCTCCACCTCCGCCCTCCCCCGACCCCAGGTGGCCTGGCCGCCCCATGGAGGAGGACGACCCGCTCTTGCTGGAGGCGCGCCCGCTGTCAGAGGTCCCCAGGTCCTGGTAGCCCGAGCCGCCGCCGCCGCCGCCACTGCCACTGCCGTAGCTGGCAGTGCCGATGCGGTTGATGTGGCTGGTGGAGGCACTGAGGGGCGCCAGGTGCTGGCTATAGCTGGAGCTGTAGGTGGGCAGGCTTGTGAGCGAGTTCCGGCCTGAGTCTGAGAGGCCGCCCCCACCCCCGCCCGCTGGGGTCATGGTCCGAGACTTGTCCAGTCCGCCCTTGAGACCACCAGGACCCTGTCGTCCCTCAGGAGTACCATTGGTCTGCGGGGGGCACAAGTTCTGCATGGAGTGGAAGTTCTTGGGTACAACGGGCTTGAAGGCCGAAGGCCTGACTAGCGGCTCTGAGCACTGAGTAAAAAGCAAGCAAGGGGGAGTGGGCATCAGAATGGGGCCTTAACCCCGGCCCCAGCCTCTTCCCTCTGGCCAAGATAGGTTCAGCCTCACCCCCAATTAATCTCCATCCTGGAAGTCCCTCCCAGCCGGGGCTCCACCGCATGGCACCTAAAAGCCAAGTCTCCGCCCTGGAACCACCAGCTAGACTTGGCCCCCAAGACCCTACCCCAGGGCTCCCCAGCCCAACCTCCATTCTGGCCCCTACACCCCAACCTCCAGGGCCCACTTTACCCTCCTCTCTTCCCCTCAGAGAAAAGGCCCTGGGGACCGACCTGGTCTAGCTTGCCAGAGGTGGCCAAGAGCTTAGGTGGATGGCTGGGCTCGCGATACTGCGGCGGGGCCTTGTCACTGCCCCCACTGCTGCTACTGCCCCCGCTGCTGGCCACCACGTTGCCGCAGACATCGGTGTGGTCGCTGCCCCGCAGCTCGCCGTTGAGGTAGAGGGAGTTGGCGAGAGCCTTGTCTTCGGAGGGGTAGCGGCCTGGCCTCTCCCTACTGGCCCCACCACTGCTGCCGCGGGGGCCAGGGAAACTGCCCTGGCTGCCCCCACCCCCCGTGCGGGTGCCCACACTCTTCATGGCGAACTCCTGGGCATGGGCCACCCCGCTGCCCACACTGCCCATGGCCAGGCGAGGGTCTGGGGGTCCGAGCTCAGAGGGCCGAGGGGCAAAGGCCAGGAGAGGATCCCGCCCTGGGTCAGCGCGCACAGGCAGCGTCTCCAGCTTCGCCATGACTGAGCCAGGGGGGCACTGTGGGCACAGGTGAGAAGGCAAAGATAGGTCAGCCCCACCCCCACTTGCACCCCGCCCTTCAGTGTCCCCTTCCCTACAATGGGTACAAGAGTTCCCAGACACCCAGGATGGAGGAGTGGGGCTGGGGTAAGAGTGACAGCTTGGTAATGGGGGTGCCTGTTGCCCACCTGATGAAACCCAGGCCCCAGGGCACCATGCACATACCCTCCCAGCTTTGCTCAGCTCAGCATTCTACTCCTCAGCTCCTGCCTCAACCCCACCTCCTCCATGAGCCCCAATTCTTCACTGCAGCCGCCAAAACTTAGGCGTTCTTTACCCTGGGTCTGGACCCCTATAACCCAACCTCCTGGGCTGGGGAGATGGGGTTGGAAGGGTACAATACTTGAATTCAATAGGGAACCTGAGAAATTAAGGGAAGGAGAGAACCCACCCCTAACCAAAACTTGGGAGTAGAGGTCCTCCCCGGCCCCCTAACCTAGGGTGTTGCAGTCAAGGGCAGAAGTGGAGGCTCACTACCAGCGCAGGCTCCTCTCCTTGCCTTTCCAAGGGAGTGGGGGGCCGACGGGTCCTCAAGCCTGGGACCCTCCGAGGCCCGGTCCGCTGGGGCCATGTGCCTCACTCTGGCAGTCGGGGCTCGGCCCGAACCAGCTGGGCGACTTTGGACGGGCCGACTGAGCCATCCCGGACTACAGTTTTCTCCTCTGCGAAATGGGAGGAATGAAGGACCTACCTCATGGAGCTGCCGAGCGCCAGGCGCCCCGAGGAGGCGGACGCGGGAGGGACGGGAGTCTTGGGCCGCGCGCCCCTGGGTCGCATGTGGGCGCCACCTAGAGCACGCCCCGCGCCCCGCGGACGGCCGGGGACCTTGGCTGTCGCGGCGTGGCGAGCGGACCTTCCGGAGGTCTTCCCAACTTGGCCGCACGAGGGGCCCCTTCCCCACGGTCAGTACCTCTGCAGAAGCCCCGGGGCTGGCTGAGACAGGGGCAGAGGACGCGGTGCCACCAGCTGCAGGCGCAGGCCGTGCCTTCCTCCGGGACTGCGTTTCCCACAGGTGGGCGGGGCAGGCGCGGGGCTTCCGCACCCACCTGCGTCCGCAGGGGATTCCGCGCCTCCCATCCCCTCTAAGAATTCACCGCCACCGGGAAGACTTCCGGGATTACCCCCTTCCCCCGTTCCCTTTGGACCTTGAACCGTGAAGTCCCCTGAGCCCTTCCGTGAGCGTGCGCCCCCCGCCCCCCGCCCCCAAGGCCAACCCACAAGAGCGGGGCGGAGGGGGGCAGCGCAGGCAGGGCGACAGGGCCTCGGGTTACCTGTGCTCAGGGAGGCCCCACTTCCTGGTTCCTTTGTCTCAAATCCACAACGGGGAACACCTGCCTTAGAGATCTGCGTAATCTAGCGGGGCCAAGGCACCAGGCAGTGCCAGCCGCGGATGCAGACCCTGGAATCCGTTTGCCAGAGGTGGCAGGGGCACCCTTCAGGCTTTCCCACCCCCCCGCTACTCCCATGAGAAACCAGGCAAGGAGCCCTCCTTCTCTACCAAGGTGAAGGGGTCCAGGTGGCACTCCATGCCCCTCGAGTGCCCCTCAGACTGTCTTCTACCCAGATGCCCATTCTGATGCCATGTCCTCCCTATGAGGCCCCAGACCAGGGGAACCTGACAAAACTCTTGCCCTTCAGGAGTCTTTTGGCCACCACACCTGGAATTACAGCCCTAAGTGCTTGGAAAGTTCACCACCAAGCCAGGCCCCACTGCCTTTGTAAAATTCCATTCTCTCAGCATCTGCCCCCCGCCCACCCCAGGGGTGGAGAACAGCACTTTACCACCTTCCTCCCAGGAGCCGGTCTATCCCCACATGCAAGGCTGAGTCTAGCGTGAGGCAAGGGAGGCACCTAGTGCAGAACTTCAGCACAGTGTCAGCAGGTGCAGGACCCTGAGAGTGAGTGCCTCTAAGGCCTCACTCTCGTCCCCGCTCTGCCTCCGCTCCCCACGTACTCCAGCTCAGTTACCCCTCAACTCAAAATCCCCCTCCCACCCTAAGCATGACCCCTTTCTCAGCATCCTCGGGTACAGTGTGGGGAGCAGCTGGGGACTAGGAGATGAAAGCTGAGTGGCCTGAGGCTTGAAACCAGTGGGAAGGCCTGGGCGGGGTCTGGGAGGAAGAACTGACCAAACTTCATAGAGATGGGGTTCAGGGGTGGGGGCAAGGGGTGGGTGTGACACCCTTAACAAAACAGGGGGAGAATGTTTGGGGAAACAGGTACTTTGGGAAAGACCAGACAAAGATCTCTCTCACATACTGGGTGGAAAGAGACTGCAGGGGTCAGCATTCAAGGGTGGTGTGGGTGGAGCCCAGCATTGTGCAAAGGTGGCAGGGCCCCAGAAGCCTGGGAGCCAGTGTGGACGCAAGAAGGAGGCCAGAAGAAGGCAGGCCCTGGGGCGCCTGGGTGGCTCAGTTGGTTAAGCGACTGTCTTCAGCTCAGGTCATGATCCTGGAGTCCCGGGATCGAGTCCCGCATCGGGCTCCCTGCTCAGCAGGGAGTCTGCTTCTCCCTCTGACCCAACCCCCTCTCATGCTCTCTCTCTCTCTCTCATTCTCTTTCTCAAATAAATAATAAAAATAAAAAATCTTTAAAAAAAAAAAAAAGAAGGCAGGCCCTGCAGAACAAGCTGGGGGGCTTCAAGAATGTCAGAGCAGCTCCCCATGTTAGAAAGGGGCCAGGTAAAGTCAAGACTGGAGAGCGTATCCTGGATCTGGCAGCTGGAAACCTCACTGGCTTCAGAAAAGTGGTGCATGGCAAAGCCAGGCTACAAGAGTAGCTGGGTCTGGAGGGAGAGATGGGAGAGTTCCCTGGTGAAAGAGAAGGCCAGAGAAGGCAGTAACTTAAGGTGGTTTGGGATCCAAAGGCTCTTTTCTAATTTTAAATTAAGCATGGTAGAAACCTGAGTATGTTGCTATGCCGAAGGAAGGTGCCAATAGCGAGATGAGCGAGCTAGGCAAGGGGGCTTCAGCAGATGCCTGGATGTGGGCAGGAGCAAACCTCGGAAGTGGTCATGTTGATGATGAGAGTGACAGGGGACAGTGTTTGCAAGGGTGCTTTCTGGGCTGTAGGGCGCAGTACAAACACGCAGTACTACTTTGTGATCCACAAAAGGTGGATCTGACCACAGGTTGAGGCTGGTGGTAGGCCACTCTGCACCACTGTTTCCCTGGGATGTGTGTGGCCCCCAGACAAGCTCAATGCACAGAGTCCTAGATGGAAATGAGGTGTTCGCGGGACTGTCTCCTGGGACCAGCTCCTGCTCTACCTGGGGAATCCTTGACTATCAACCCAGAGCAGCTCTCCCTGGAGCCTCATTCCCCAAAGAGTGTCTTGCCATAATTCTAACCTGTCAGTAAGCATTCCCCGCCCCTTGCCTTTGCCGAGTTTGGGCTGCTGCAGCTTCTCTTCTCAAAACCCCAGCAGGGAGCTGGCAGGACAAGGAAGGGCATTTGTTTCCCTGATAGACAGAAACTGAGCCCAGGGGAAGAGTTTGAGCTTCGCGTATAGGTTAGGGTCCTGAACTGGCCCAGGTGGCTGAGCATGGTCTGCATAGGCAGCCTCAAGGCATCAGCTCAACAACCTGGGATGACAGCCTGTTGCCCAACTCTGCGGCTCTCTCTGTGCCATCAACCTTCATTGCCTGGGACATTATGCAGAGTACTGATGGTCATAAAGGGGTCAAATGATCTGTACCTGGGCTCTACACGGGCAGGTCCCTCCAACCCACAGTGATCACTCAACCCCTCCGTACGTCTGTCCCTCCCAAAGCTAAGAACACTCTACCCCTCTCTTGTGGTCTCAGAGGCCCCTATACCAGCCCATTTGCCCCCTAAAGCTTTCAGTAGCCCCTCTTGCCAGCACCCTTGCTGGGGGCTCCTCGCTGGCCTCTTCCCCCCTGCACTCCCTCCTACAAACAGCTGCCAGGGGACTCTTTCTAAAGGGCAAAGCTGATCTTGTCCCTGCTCTGCCCAAATTCTTCCACGAGCAGCGCCAAGAACAGTCGACATGGGTTCTGGAGGCATCAACTCAAGTGTAAATCCCAGCTGAACTGATTAGGGGTGAATGCATGCAGGTTATTTCACCTCGGGTTCTCACACCTACCTTACAGGAATCTTAAGAAGTAAATGTATTATGGGTAAGAGGCCTGGCATTTCTCTCAGTCCCCAGAACCAGAGCAGAGCTTGCAGCAGGGCCTTCAAGGCATCTCCTGCTGCCCTTCCTATTTCCCCTGACCTGAGATCCTCTCCACTCCACACAAAATCTCTTCCCAGCTCTCCATGCCCACCCTGCATCCTTCAAGGACCAATCCAAATGCTGCCTCCCAGGACAGCATCCCTGATCGGCCCTGGGGAGAAAGGGCCTTGGAGCACTTGGCTCAAGCTACTCCAGGGAGATTTTACTCTGAAGCTTCCCCAGGGGCTGGCCTGGGGGTGCCCTGGGGACACAGATGGCAGAGTCCTAGGGCTCTCTGGGCCCTGGCCCTGAGGAGATGCAGAGAGAATGCTGTGGGAATGCTAGTTATGAGCAATGCAAAGAGGCAATGAATCCGGACAGGAAAATCAGGAAGGGCTTCCGGGAAGAAGGACTGAGGGAGAAAGGGGACTGGGGGCACTGTAGGGCTTTTGGGGTGCAGAGGTCTTCAGAACTTCTTGGTTGGGATGTGTGAGGGGAGATCCACCTTTCCTTGGTGTCAACGGGGGAAGGGAACCATCTCCTAGATCCTGGCTCTGGTGAAGCTGGTGTTTAAGGACTGAGGGGGCTGACAGCGCCCCCCCTACCCCAGCACACACACGCGCGCACACACGAGCTTCCGCGCAGGGGAGTGGGGGTGTTCGCCATTCACCAGCAGTCCACGGCCCGCAGCGCCAACAGATAGAGACCCCGGCCACAGGCTGTCCTGAGGAGGTGCCCGAGGGTCTCCGTGGTGCAGGAAATCCCTCTCGCACCTTCCCTAGCTCCCTACCAGCGCGTGTGGCCCCGGGGGGCGGGGCGCAGAGGGAAGAGGTGACATAATCCGGGCCGCACCCCCTCCGGCCGCCACCTCCCCCCAGGCCTGGTGAAGCATCCATGACATCATCGGCCTTATCTCCACTCCCCTCCCCCCCCCGGGACCCCAGCAGCGGGACGCGCCCCCTCCCCAGCTCCGGGTCCGGCAGGACGAGCATCGCAGTGCAGCGGGCACGGCGACAGGTCGAAGCCGGGAGGGGTGCCGCGATGGGCCGGCCTCACTTACTCGCTGCTTCAGGGTCCAGCGCGGGGTCCTCGGAGCGGGCGCCACCGGCCCCGCTCGCTGGCGCAGCCCGAAGCCCGCCCGGCGGGGCGCGCGGCGCGGGCCCGGCTCGGCTCCGCGCCCCTCCCGCTCCCCGCCCGGGCCCCGCCCACCCGCGGCTGCGGCAAACGCGGGCCCGCCCTCCGGCCACGCCCCCCAGGGCCGCCAATCCCCAGGCTGGGGCGGGGCGCAGCGCTTTAACCCCTTTGTAGCTGCGTCCGGGTTCGCGCGTGGGACCCCTCTATTTCACCCTCTCCAGAGCTGCGTAAGACGGCCTGAGTCCCTCTGCTCGTCGCCTCTCACCCCCGCCAAACCCCTTGGGTTCAACCCCCAGGCTCTGATCTCTAACAAATCCAGTGGGACCGCGCCCTCCGCCACTACTTGGGCAACCGGGAGGAGCCCCCCGGTTTGGGGAAGGGGCTCTCGATGTCGACCCCAGCCCCATTTCTCTTCGGCTCCTGCTCTTCCGGACGCGGCCTCGCAGCGGACGCCGTGAGACCGCAAGTCTGCAAGGTGGGGGCGGGGCGAGCCCTCCCGGAGGGGATCCGACACCGCCGAGGGAAGACCCGCATGGGCGCGGGGACCGCTGGCCGGCGTTTAAGAGGCTTCAAGGGGCCGTAACTCTGGCCGGCAGCAAACGGTGCCGGTTTGAAACTTGCTGCTGCGGAGGCTCACTGTCCGGGGGGTAAAAGCAGGGCAACGAGGAAAAAGATACACATTACAATCCAGCAAGGTGTGAGTGCTTTCACCCCGTGCCCCACACCTGGCAGGAGACCCAGCCCCGACCCCCACGCTGCATCCGGGGGTAAGAGGGGGTGAGGTGAGGACTTCGTCCCTCACCCGGAGTACCAGTTTCGCACGCGCGGGCTTCGTTCTGTACCGGTAGTGCTCATTCTGTCCCGGTTGGCCCGGGAGGACTGCCGGGAGGAAGCCGTCCGGGACTGGAGATCTTAGCCTCGAATACGGCGATTATGGCGGGGAAGCAAACCAGGCCTAGGGTTCAGCATGAGTAAAAGCCTGGAGGCACAAAGAGTCTGTCCTAAAAACTGCAGCGCCTCCACTCTAGCTGGGATTTAACCCATTGTATCATAGCTGTTATTTGGTCATTGCTGATTTGTTTGGTTATCTGTCATCCTATTTTATAGTATATATTTCTTGCTGTTTCCTGTTTTCTGGATTTTTACATATTTACTTTTATTTTCTACAGTGGTCTGCAAGATGGAAAGCCTGTGTTTAATTCTCCTGGTGGTTGCCTTTGAGTTTATCAAGTAAAAATACAGTTTTTCACAAATCATTAAAGTCAATGACAAATTATTCCTTTTTATATTCCTCTTTATGTAATGAAAAATTTAATGTGCTTTTCTATCTCTAGGCCTGCTGCCCTCATACCTACTTATATCTGTCCATTTAATCCAGGATGATAGACCCAGTTTTGTTTACACTTTTTTTTCAAGCCACAAAATCCTGTTTTTCAATCATTGCCTTTGGCTTTTGCCAACTCTTTGTTTAATTGGTATCAATGTCACTGCCAGTTTTTTATGCTCTAATTTTTCTATTCCTCAGTCGGACCCATCTCTCATTTTACTGGTGATTTCAGGGGGGACTCCTGAATTTTTTTTCCTAAGGCTTTGCCCTAGGTAAGAATGCCTTTCTACTGTCTTTACACAGTAATACACTTTTATGGCTTGACTTTTTATAGAATTCTTGAGTCTCCAAGGCTCTCTTGTCCTTATCCCATTGTCCTTTGGGTCTTAAAGTGGTAGAAAGTACACCTGAAACTAATACAATGTTAACATGTCAATTATATCTCCAAACAAAACAAAACAAGGTAGCAAAGCTGGTCTGGTCTGTGTTAGGTGAGCAATTTGCCTGGTGCTTCTTAGGATTTTTCTTTATCCTTAAAAGTTAAATATTTGCCAGCATAAGTCTATTAATTTTCCAGAAAAGAAGTGGTCTTTTCAGCTTAGGAAAGTTTTCTTCTAAAATGTTCCTGTCCATTCTGTGAACAGGGTTGCTTTCGGGGTTTTTCTCTCCTAAAATTATATTAGATTACTGCTGTCAATGAAATCTCTTCGTCCTCTTCCTCTGCATCCTGGGAGAGTATCTCATGTTTTTCTTCACCATCACAGATTTAATTTTCTGCAGAGTCAAGGGTACTCTTTGTTTTCTCCAGTAAGATATCTAATTCTGCTTGTTGGTTTTTTTTTTTTTTAAGATTTTATGTATTTGAGAGGGAGAGAAAACAAGCAGGCGGAGGGGCAGAGGGAGAGAGAGAAGCAGGCTTCCTGATGAGCAAGGGGCTCCAGGATCATGACCCAGGCTGCTGGAAGGCATATGATCAAGGGACTGAGCCACCCAGGCGCCCCTAATTCTGCCTGTTATATCTTTCTTTGATTTTAGCCAATTTCCACCCCACCTCTGTCTTGATCTCACTCAATCTCTTTTTAGTTTCCTGTTCCTATTTCATAGAGAATGTGGTTTTGCATTTAAGAAGCACAACAGGAAAATAAAGGAATACCATAGCTGACTCTGTTCTAATGTATATGAAAGCCTTAATAAAGTGGACCATTTTCTGGGAAATACAATTACAAAAATAAGAAAGATGTTGAAAACATTATCTAAGAAATATGTCCAAAAAAGGCTCTGGGCTCAGATGGTTTAATGGAAGGATTCTCTCAAACTTTCAGTGAACAGATAATCCTTACCCTGTAAATCTGTATTACAGCCCAGAAAAGTTAGAAAGCTATTTCATTTTATGAGGCTACAGTTCTCCTTATACCAATTCCCAATAAAGACAGCATAAAAAGGAAAACTGCAAACCAATCATACTTATCAATTCAGGGGGAAAAATTTACTAAATACAACTCAAGGAAATAAAATTAAGTGTGACTGCATATGAAATTAGTCCATGAGTTTGTTAAATGAGAGAAAAAAAAAACAATTGTCATAATACATGCCAAAAAGTCACTCAAAAATCAGTACCCAAAAAGAACCCTCATAATTAACCAGGAACAGTTGAAATTAAGATTCAATATTTTGTGCCTTGACATCTGGTAAAATCAGGAGTGTCTCAAATAGCTGAACTGAACGTTGCCCTAGCCAAATAAATAATCCTTATCGAATCGACTAGGTGCAGTTTCTGCTTATCTCTGAGAGCAGGTTTCAGTTCTTTGCCAGCCTGTGGAACCATTCAAACAAACCAATGACATTCCCTGCAGGAACAACAGGCACACCTCAACCTCTTGCTGCTATAAAACTCGTCTGTCCTCCACAGCTTCTGGTTGTTCACTGTATTTCTGAGTGCAACACCTGGATGGCCCCATGTGGCTTGTGGTGTCCTTCCCTGAGCTGTGAGGATACGTGACTGATAAACTGCTGTCGATCTCCCCTGTCCAGTGTCAAGGGCTGTGTCTGGCCATCCCCATAACCCTAGGGTGGGAACCCCTCCCTCACCAATGGTAAAGAGAAGGCGATTAAAACAAGAGTCTATTATCTCAATAAAGCTGGAGGGAAAAAAAGAGTCTATCAGACTGACAAAACTTAAAAACTGATGGTATTGCGTGTTGGTGAGGCTGTAGGGAAACAGGAACTCACGGTGTTTTTGAGAATATAAATCGGTACAACCTTTTGGGAGGACAACTGGGTAATAGATCTATAAAAATGTGAGAAGTGTATATCCTCAGACTTAGCAATTCCATTGTGGGAAGAAATGCCATCACAAATAATATGATAGATGTGCAAAGATAAGTCACTAATGTACTGACTGTAGTAGAAATATTTAAACGTAAATACATCAATCTATTAATGGAAGACTGAGTAAATGAATCACAATGCATCCAGTGCAATGTAACAACAGCGATGTAAAAATGGCATAGGTGTCTATGTGTTGACATAGAAAGATGATTATGTGGGAAAAAAAAGCAAGGAGCAGAATCATATGTATGCATACTCTAATTCTTCTATTATTTTATTTAATTTACTAAATATTTATTTATTTAGGGGCACCTGGGTGACTCAGCTGGTTAAGCGTCTGACTCTTGATTTCAGCTCAGGTCCTGATCTCAGGATAAGGTCAAGCCCCGAGTTGGACTCCTCACTCAGCACAGTCTTCTTGTCCCTCTCCCTCTGCTTCCCCCCACCGCCCCATTTGCTCTCTGCCTCTCTCTCAAATAAATAAAATATTAAAGAATATATTTATTTAAGAAATCTCTACACCCAACGTGGGGCTCGAATTCACAACCCCGAGATCAAGAGTCGCATGTTCTTCTGAGCCAGTCAGAGTCCCATCTTCTATTATTTTAATAAGAATATATATGTACCTGCATAGGAAAGTGAAAAAATGCACATCAAACTATTAACAGTGGCTATTTTGAGATGGTGGGATTGCAGGGAGGAGGGCAGAAGATTCTAGGCCCTTCTGTAATGTTTGCATTTTTTTTTTTTTTACAATGAGCAGGTATTTTGTAAAAAAAAAAATCGAAAAGATAATGCAGTTTGCTTGGAAGAAGAAACAGGTGAATAAGCTCTGAAAATTTAGAAGCAGCAGGCTATTAATATTAAATATCTGCTCAAAAACCCCTGCCCCAGTGGGAGTTTGCATTCTAGTGGGAGGAGACAGTTGATAAAATATATAGGGATTAGAAAGTGGCAAATACTAAGGAGAAGTTGAGATTGCTGGGGGATCCCAATTCCAAGTAAGATGGAAGGCCCTCCTGAGGAAGTGACATTCAAGTTAAAGACTTGGAGATGGGGGAGCAAGCCAAGTGTAAATCTGGAGGTTTCTAGGATGCAATCATTTTGTGTATAGTAAAATGAGCTCTTTTTTTCAGTATTTTGTTTTTATGCACCAACTAAAGCTTTCAAATAGAAAAAAAAATACTTAACCGTGATTTTAATTAGTTTTTAGTAAGTAACTACAAGAAGAGTTAACATTGTTCAAAGTTTACCCCTTTAAATGGCACTCACCCTAGACTGTTTTACATCTGGGTTCTACCCAATCTATACAGAGATCATTCTAAATCATAGGAAAAGATGAAAAGCTCCCTAACTCATTTTATAAAGGTAGAATAATCTTAATACCAAAATCTGA